AGAGAGAGAGAGAGAGAGAGAGAGAGAGAGAGAGAGAGAGGATAAGTCAAGAAATCATAATTTTATGGAGGCAACTCATCGAAACAGAGACAAATATTTTATTGCAATAATATATCCTTCACGCATAGTAGTTACTGAAGTCTACAACATTGAGACAGTTATGATCCGAGGCCTAATTGGCCTGAATTGGTATTGAGTAAGTGACGCTGCTTGAGTTTATTATAAGAATCATTGATCAACAACAAATTACAATGCGTGTGTAATCGTATTATGCTGCTACATCGTCAAATTTTTTTTTCAAGTTTTCGAGATGAATTTCATTTCTAGAAATTTTGCAACAATTATCTCGTTGCCCACTATGAATATAAATATATTGAAACTTTGAATTAAGTTTTATATAATGTACTTAAAGAATAAGTATTTAATCGACATCTCTAATTTTATAATGATACCGAAATAATTTCATTTCGAAGTTGCTCTACAGTATTAAGAATAGTTAAAGTTTCATTTGGCACTAGGCCAAATTTTATATTATACGCAATAACCCATTACTGTTTTTTCGTGTAAACATAATAACAACGAAAGAATACTTTTCTTTTTCTAATTGATCGAAAGAATAAAATTACGTACGTAGAATGTGTAACTTCAAATTGTTATAACTTTTTAAAATTTTTATTAAATTTAATCAATTCATTATTAAAATTTGTGGAGGAGGAAGAAATTTTTGAATAAAAAATTCAATCTAAAAGATAAATTTAAGTAATATCTACGAGTACATGTATACAATACAAGAAAAAATAAAGTACGTTATTGATCTTCGTAGACACCACTCTCTCTATTCTATATCGCGTGAAAAGAGTTTAAATTAAAGAAACTAACTCTCCACTCCCCCCTCCCTTTTTTTTAATATTCGAATAACTTCTGTTTTAAAATCTATGAAAAGAACTTCTATGTAAATAAATTATGCAAAAAGAAATCTTATTTCCATGACTCCATTTGTTCGTTTCCTGTTCCCAGGATGAAAGTGGTCGACGGTAAAAAAAAAAGGATCGCAAAGATTACGATATTTCTGTATCAAAATTCAAACTCAAATGCAACAATATCAATGACCTAGTTCGTGAAAGAACCGTGGTGGCTTCTAAGTTTGTGGCGCCGTCGCGTTCCGCATACGAAGTGATCGATATCTCAAAAAAACTGTGAAAATGTTACGTTACTACAGTAACCGTAATAGCGTACCGCATTTGAGAGAAAATATAATGACGTTCGATATATATATGTATCTTTTATACGAAAATCTTGATTCTTGCGTTACGTATGTTTTACTTACATGCGTATTTAATCTTATTCATCAAATATTACGTACATTTTCCTCCCATTCTTCCAACGTTCCCTTTATTCTTCGATCGAAAAGTATTTACTATTTTTAAAAAATTTTTTAGTTTTTATTAATCTATCGATGTTATTCTTATTTAACAGGATATACAATTTTTTTTATCCACAATTTAATCCATTTTTATATCATTTGGATTAATAGATATGTCAATCTTTCGATCAAAATTATTTCTTCTACGAAACGAATACAAAAATTTCACGTGACTTATCTGAGGCATATTTTGGTCATAATTAAAGTAAAAGATGATGATAAAAGTATTAAAAAGAGATACTTAAGAATAATAAATTATTTTTCGATTCGTTAAACAATCTTTTTAATACCTCAATAATTAATAATTATTCTCTGTCATTCCCTTCTTTCCTTGCGTTTCAATTTTTTTTTTTTTTTTTTTTTTTGATTGATAAAAGAGTAGTAAAAGTAAAATTTGTTAAAAATAAATAAAGGAGAAGGTATTTCTATGAAATGGTAAGACGGTTGGTTTGTATTGATTTTGGTGGAAGTCGATCAACTTCAAGAGAGAAAGAAGAAAGAATGTAGCTCGCAAAGAAAAATATAAGCTGCTTTAAGTATGCTAACACGATAACGACTGAACGAATTGCTTTGTAAATACGGTAAGAAAATTGCAAATTTGCCGAATTCGAAGAAATCTATCGTAAAAATTTCCTAATTTTACGTGCCATATAAATGATAATGTCGAGGGAAAAAAATCAATATTTGCTCGTACAAATTTTTCACATCACGAAAAAATTTATAAAGATAAAAGCCGAGTTTTAATTCCAATTTTTTAAATGTTAATTTAAGATAATTAAGATAATTTAAGATGTCTTGTACATGTAACCGTACAAATTAATAAAATAACGATTCTAATGATTTGCGTAACAATTTCATTACATCGAGTCGGATTTACAACTAAGAAATTCTAAATAAATGTATTAGAATAAATTTTAATTTACAGAAATAATTTTGGAGAAAATACGAATTGGAACATTTGATTTCATTTTGCAAAATATAAGAAAATAAAATTATTATCTCTAGAAAGTATTGTCACGTACGTAAATAATGCGTTAAAAAATAATGTGTTCGTAAAACTTAATTCTCAAATAAAATAATTTTCTATTAAATTATAATTCTTTCTTGCTTGTTCTAATAAATAAAAATAATTAAGGGAGAAATTTTTAGTTTTACAAAATAAAATTAAAATTTTTATATCGATCAATTTAACAAATAACAATTAACAATAAATAAGTGTTAATTTGTGAACGTGATTATAGTATTAGCTGCAATTGATTTTATTCGATATACCGTAATGTCAGATCGACCAAATCTTTCCGCAATTGTATTACATAATAGTGCAATATGGAGAATACCTTTGCTATATGTCATTAGATAGAGTCAAATAAAATCAATTGTAAGCGTTAAAAATGTACGAAACGCAGAATCTTAAATGAATTTTTATTTATATATTTAAACTCACAAGCAAAAATAACTTGCACTATATTACACATTCAAAATACACTCTTTCGATATTTTTATCCCTTTACGGAATAATTTCAGCATGTTTTTCATTTCGAATATAACTTATGATACTATTTTTCTTCTTTTAATTATTTATAATGGGATAAAACTTTATAAGATTCACACTCAAAGATTAAGAATATTTTTTCATTTCATAATCTCTTTTTTTTTTATAATTTTACGACCAGAAAAATAGGAAACTGAAGATTATCCTTCCTTTATTTTTTTCAAATATTCGATTGAGATCTTTGATTGAGAAAATCTAACGTATTAAAAAGAACGTATTATGATATGGAAAAAAGCTCTGGTTTATCAGAACAGGATACGTTTCCTGCTAAGATAAAACGAAAGATTTATAACGAAACGTTATTTTCGTGCATCTGAACGTAAGACTTATGTGGCAAAAAAGTTACGATAATTTTGTCAAAATATCAAAAAAGAACATTTTCTTTTTTTATCATACATTTTGCATAATTGTTGAGTTTTTTCACTACAAATAAAAGAGAAGGGACGAAAATAAAAAGTTTGTAATTCCATCAATAAAACAGAAATCGATTTAAATTAAAATCAGAAGAAACATTTTTCTTCGATTGAACTTAAGAAGCACGATAATCCTTCCTAAATATATGGCACCGCCAATGATCTGCAGTGCGCGTATACATTGCGACCCTTTACGTCAAGAACGATGGGGTTACGATTAAATGTCAATCAGATATTCGACTTCTCGCTTTTCCCGATACGTTTTCACTTAGAATATTCCGAAAAGATCGTTCTCGATACCATAAACAGATTTCTCGGAATAAATCCCGTTCAATTCAATACCTATCGTTAATAATATCCTTCGAGCTGGAAAGGAATCTATCCACTCTCGATTTGATTCGTAAAAGTAAATCTCTCGTACGTAAAATACATATTTCACAAAGATAACTTACCCCAACTAGCGCCTGTGCGCCCCAGGAACTGTCCAGTCTCGGAGTTCCATACAAAGACCCTGAAACCCTCCCATTTGCCAAGCTTCGGCGGTGGAGTGTAATACTGCTCGACTTTTTTACCCTCCATTCTTTACGACTAGACGAAAGACGGAGAGAAGAAACGAATTTTCTCCCCGCGTATCACCACGAACCAACTAACGAACGAACGAACGGACGAACAAACGAACGAACGAACGAACGAACGAACGAACGAACGAACGAACGAACGAACGGACGGACGAACGGCGACAGTCAGGATCTGATGCTCTATCTGGTAATATTGTTGTACGTGTTCTGGTGGAACAGTGCCGCGATCGAACAGTTCCGCGGGCGAGGACGCAAAGGAAGGAAGGGTCGATTCGTGCCCTCGTCTGGAGCTACTGTTCTCGGGCGCTCTCGTCCGACCAAGGGATGAATATTGAACGATCGAACCCAGCCTGGCCCGAGCTTTTCAGGCCGTCCCCCTCCTCCTCTCGTGTTCTCGTTTCTCCGCTCCCTTCCTCTCCTCCCCTCTCTTTCTCTCCAGCGGTGTGCTTTCTCACTGCCGCGGAACCCGCTACCCTTTTCTACCGCGTCGACGAAATCGCGCAGTCGCGTCAATACGCACCCCTTCGCCCCCCTCTCGCCACCGTATCGCCGACCAGGTGGCACTAGTTGCAATCGTGGCCGGCTCGCTTGATCCTTCTCGCTCCGACTCGCGTTTTTAATCGCCGTTCCTCTCTACCGACCGTTTCAACTCGATTCGATCGACCTCGCTCCGTGACACGCCGACTCCTCGCGGCCAAAGCTTACGCGATTCTCATCATAGATATGTAATCGTAGAGAAACGATACTCTCTTTGTCTTTCGACCGCTCTTCTCCAGAGATTCGTCTCGAATAATCGAATCGGGTGTATATCGTATGTATCGTACCGTTACATAGGACGGAATTAAAAACAGGATGGAAAGTATAGAAAGGAAGAAAGGAGAGAAGGTATATACGCGTTGAAGAAAGTTAGAGATCCAGAGTTTCGATATATGCGTTTCACTGCTTATGAAAATTCGTAAAATCGTTACACATTATGTGTGAAAATATAATTTTTTATCGTACTATGTATATTGTGATCTATCGTGATCTTACAGCTATATAATCTCGTTTTTCCGTTATTTACCAGTTATTTAACAGTACAAAAATCGAGATCGTCTCAAATTGTTCCCTATAAAAAAAAAAAAAAGAGAGAGAGAGAAAAAAAGAAATATAATAGACAAAAAAATATTGAAGTAATATTATTGGCCAAAATCAAGTTAATTCTAGAACCGTAGACAGTACGTTCGTTCCAATGCAGTTTATATCGATTACTCTTTTATTTATTATTTCCTACGATTCAAAATATTTAATGAATTTTGAAATTTTTGGATAAAAATATATATTCAATTACACAAATTTATAAATATTAATTATAAATATTAATCTACAAAGGTATGTACATACAAAAAAAATAATTCGTTGATTATTTATACAATTTATATTTTTAACGATATCTTTATATTACGACATATGTAGATTGCATAATAATTTAATCAACTTGGATACAGCACATTACATCCGTATAGATGTCGATAACGCGTTATGGATACAAATATGTTTAATATTGTTACAACAAGATACAAATCATTTATTACGATTTGAATCTTGAACACAAATAATAATCTATTTATCTAAAAAAAATGTTAAATATAAATATATATGTATATATTTTCTATCGATAGAAAATTGACATAATTCTGTATATTTATATATTTATTCGTTTCTTCTATTATTCATTTATTATCTTTACAGAATCTTAATATGAAATATTAAAGACATGTATTTTATAAGCACAAAATAAATAATAAATTATATTTTATATAAAACCATAATGCGGTATCCGTGCCACTAAGTAATATTATACCATACATGCACACTCTTACATAACGGAAGTCCTGTGGATCGATTGCACTCAAAATGTCCAATTTAGCAATTTTTGATTGCTAAAAAAGAAAAAAAATTCGACGGTACACATTCACATAAGTTAACCACTTTTTCTATCGATATTTTTGTTATTCGATAAATTTATTAGATTTAAATTTTAAATAAAAAGAAAAATTATTAACTATAATAAGTTATTGTATCATTTATAAATACCTCCTCGTTTGCATAAATAACCGTAAAAACCGTAAAAATATATTTTACGATAAAACAGATGTGGGTTATCAAAACAATTTGAATTTATTCGTTATTTAATAATTATATCGTATGGAATATTTTATTAGTTTACTTTTAACCACATCAAAAAATACATTTAATTTATTTTATTTGCTTCAATTCATTCGTATTACAAATTACTATAATTTTTGTCTACAGCACATAATATACAGTTATTGTTATATATTATCCATTCCCATAGATGCAATGTACAGGATCTTTTTGTTAAATCTTTAAGATTTTTTAGCTCTTTTACAATTAGATCCTTTCTTTTATGAAATCCTTTTCCTGCTTGTGAATATTGCACATATATATATATAATATAAATATAAATAAATATATATATATATATATATATTATATATATATGTGTATATGTATATGTATATGTATATGTATATGTATAGAAGTTTCGAGAAACATAGATATATAAAAAAAAGCAACATTTTATACAATTTTTTTTCAACGCATCTTTTAAAACAATAGTCTCAGCGTATCTTGTACTATTCAATTGAATTATGAATTTAAACTATATATTTAGTTTATACAAACAAATTAAACGGTGCATCTATAATTAAATGCTAGATTTTCATCACATTTTCAGAATAGTCTAAGAGTATACTTCAACCAGATTTTTTTTTTTTTCGATTTATTTACAAATATTTCATTGTTATTATAATCGCATGTAAATAAAGAAATTATGTGCATATTAAACAATGTCACTGTTCAAAGACTGTTATAAACTTGATATCGATAATATCAATAATCATCGCAAAATAATCGTAATTACTCTACAAAAAAGCGTGTTTTTATTTACACAGCTTTCCTTTGTACTATCGCACATAAAGAAAGTACAATTTCATAAGACGCACGTATATCCTAAACACACCGGCTAAAAGTGTAGACGGATTGGTTGGTAACGTTTTTTATTAAATATTTCATTACAGGAGGTTAAAATATTTATAATGCATTCAAATAACAGAATTTACAAATATATCTCAATATTTCCATATATATGTATGTATATATATAGTGTGTATATACACATCACATATTTGTATGTAAATCTTATTTCCTTCCCCTACCACACTATATCTCATACATACT